GAGGAAGGAAGGTAGTGGGTAGTATGAGGCTTGCATAATGCAGGAGATGTGAAGGAGATGCTTGGAATGTGGAAGGTTGTGGTGAAGAAGAGTGAGGGTGGTACGTTGTTGGTGCGGGGGTGGTGGTAGAGGGAGTCTCTGGTGGCGAGACGCGTGATAATGTGGATGCAACCGACAATTTCTCCCCCAGATTCTTGACTTTATTTGTTGTTATCACTATCATTTTCATTTCCAGGCTTTCTATTATCACTGTCCACTAGATCCTCACTGTCCCTAAACAGGAGTTCTAGATATTGTCACTATAACGAGGTTCTGTAGCTTATTGTGGTAACGGCTTTTGAAAACTTAACACACTGTAAATATGAAAAAAAAATTTCATTACACAACCATCACTTCACTTCTCTAACACTAAAAGGAAATTATTTCAGGGAGTAGAGTAAGCACTGCAATCAAGGAGTTGAGGCAGCCTGCACGGAGTTATGGAAGTTTAAATGGACGCAGCTCACTCACAGTCTGACTGCTGAGATAATACTGCGCATTTATCGTTCTGGTCTTCGCTTCTTATGGGCCTCAAAAGTTGCCAATTAGTTTATTTGATAGAACTTATTTGCTGCTATGACGCATTAAAATTCGACGTTATTCTGTTGAAAACTTAATTTTGGACAAATTTTTAAAAGTTTTGGGAGTCAATTTGCATCACCGTGAAGTTGGTCTTAACATGAATATGACGCAAATCGTGTCATCATGCTCCGGAGGGTTGATAAGAGAAATGACGCTATGTTTCCATGAGTGTGCGTGTAACATATGTTAGCCTTCTGCTGTCAGTCTCACACTTTTTTGTCTTTACTGTCACAGGTTACTTTACTGTACTGTACATTAAATTACATTAATTGAAACATACAGTCAACCCTCACTTTACGCGGTCCCACATTCCACGTTTCCACGGTGCCCTGCCAGAACCCAGGATGCTCACATTCAGTGAAGCAAATGGCAGAGACATTTGCTACAATTAATAAGGGGATGCAAATGTTTGACGGAATGGATAAAAATTATGAGCGTTTTGCCAAAGTTGACAGATTGGTCCAAGATGCACTTGCTTGCTACAGGGAAATTTATAATGAAAAGAAAAAGCAAACTGTGCAGTCTAAATTGGACATCTATTTTAAGAGGTCCCCCATTGCTGTCTCCTCACACCCCACCAGTGCTGCCTCTTCACTCCCTAAAGATGATCCAATAACTTCAACCAGCAAGTTTCCCCTGTACATAAGCCTGTAAATCTGCCAAAAAAATACAGTTGAAAAACTTTACATGATAAAATGTACTACAGTACACTAATGTACTAAATTTTTTAGCGTGCAAAATATATGACGTTTATATTCAAATTATTCACTGCCTTGCAAGGATTCCAGCAATGGAAATTATATTCTAACTTTAGTCTGTGATATTATATAAGATAAAAAGTTAAAGCCTACTGTATAACCACCAAACCCTTGCTGTGAGGGGAGGCGACAGTGACATGTTTGACAGTTAGCGCCGAAGGTCTAGTGAAGTATTTATTTGTTTATTTATGTCCTTTAGATTGAGTTTTTGTTTTTTGCTTATAAAATGTCATAGAAGTGACCGGGGAGAATATAATTTACATTGCTGGAACTCTTATAAGACAGTGATTAATTTGAATGTAAACATGCAATAGTTTGCACTGGACAAATGTTTTAGTAATCATTTTGTACATTATTTTGATTACATGTACAGTACAGCTTTGGGCTTAGGACAGTGTGTGCATGTAAATGAATTTCAATAAATAAATAAAGTTACATATATCGAGCCAAAAATACTTTATGTAGATAGAGCTTGGATGGCTAAATTTTAGAATGACATAATTTTAATATAAAAAATGCGCAAATATTATAGAGCACAATTTTCTTGATATTTTCTCCACTGGAAACGAATGTTAACATAGAACAAGATTATTGAATTGGCAGGCTAGCCCATCAGCTGATGCTCACTACAAAACGTGTTTGTCGTGAGGATTTCGTTAATCGAAGTTTTGTTCGTTAAATGAATTGAAGATCCTTATGGGAGGTAATTCGTTAACCAAAGTTTTGTTAATCGAACCGTTCGTTACCGAGAGACAACTGTACTGCTTTAACTGATTGGCAGAACAACCCTCAATCTCGTTCCAAAGCTGATACCTTCCGCAGGAAGAAAGCTGGCCCAGCGGGAACTTTGCAATCTAAAGAATGACTGGTTTAAAAATAAAGCATGTGAAACACAAAAATTTGCAGATCAGCACAAGATGCACAAATTTTTCATTTCCACCAAAACATTTTATGGGCAAATCACTCGTGGCGGAGCCCCCTCCGCTCATCCGACTGTAACTCCATAATTAAAGACGATGAAGACTTCCTTCAGCGTTGGAAAGAGCATTGCCATTCACTGCTCAACCGAAACACCGATGTAGATGTCCTGACTACCCAGCAGGTCCCTCAGCAACCGGAGCTGACCCACCTCCGCTATCCTCCATCCCTGGATGAGGTAGTTACTGCTGTCAAACAGATAACAAATAAAAAAGCCTCAGGGCCTGATGGAATCCCAGATGAGTTGTATTAAACAGCAGGATCTCTGCTTACCAGCCGTCTCCACTCTCTCCTCGATAATATATGAGAAAAGGAGGAAATCCCCCAAGCCCTTAAAGATCCCTCAATCTTCAATATTTATGAGAACAAGGAAGAACGGTCAGACTGTGGCAACTACTGCGGGATCTCGCTGCTCTCTGTAGCAGGCAAGATTATCGCCCGAGTCCTCCTAAACAGACTTCTTCCTAAGACGGGAAACTTCCTCCCAGAATCTCAATGTGGCTTTAGACCATTACGTGGCACCACTGACATGATCTTTGCTGCCCTCAAGGTACAGGAGAAGTGCAGAGAATGGAGTCGTGACCTGTACATAGCTTTTATCGACCTAACCAAGGCCTTCGATTCGGTCAACAGGGAAGCCCTCTGGTGAACCCTCAACCGTTTTGGCTGCCCACTAAAATTCATCGCCATTGTGAAGCAACTCCACTATGGCATGAATGGCATTGTCCTGCACAATGGCACCCGGTTTGAGTTCTCCATCCAAACAGGGGTGTCTACTGGCAAAAACTCTCTCTTCCATTTTCTTGGCTGCCTTCCTTACTCATGCCAGCCCCAATTTAGCCGGCGGGGTGGACATCGAGTACTGGGTGTAGGGTCTTTTCAACATAAGACGAATCCAGGCAGGAACAAAGGTGTCGGCAGCTTCCATTACTGAACTTCAATATGCAAACGATCTCACTCTTGTTGCTCACACTGAATGTGACCTACAGGAGATCCTGAACACCTATGAAGATGCTTATGCACACTTCGGCCTTGAGGTGAATGTGCGTAAGACTCGATTCTCTTTCAAACTGCCCCTGGTTCAGACACGCCTCCACCATCCATCCAGCTTAACGGTACTGCCCTCTCTAATGTTACCCACTTTCGGTATCTCGGCTCCCACCTGTATAAGGAGTAAAGGTCTTATTGTATGACACAACTGTGTGCGTCTAACTGCATGGTAGCGAGTTAAATATAAGCTGTGGAGGAGTGCTTGACAACCCTCAATTCCACTCCATCTATCTAATTGCTCACATCTTTCTGCTTTCTCACTCTGTAATGTTGAAGGGATACAACTGTGCTCATTTATACTTATACCCGTACTTAACACAATCTCTCTAAAAATACTTGAAGTTTTGTGTCTAATCAAGATGTCTTCAGGTCATGAGACCCACTAATCTTCCACCCTAGAAATGGTAACCTGACATTCCAGCAGATCAGTAATATGAGACTACTAATCCCCCATCCTACCTCCATCTGATATTGGATCAGGTCAGATCAGTTACAAGAGACCCACTAATCCCCCACAGCTCCATGGGAGTGGAAAATGACAGTCTTTTCTGTAACACATCTTCATTAAATCATACCCATATCCTATAGATTTTACTTTATATATATATATATATATATATACAGCCACTCCTCGACTTACGACGGGGTTAGGGACCCAAAACCAGTTCATAAGTCGAATTGGTTTGAGTCGAAAATGCGAAAATAATACATAGAAAATCTAAAATGGGTGTCTCTTTTTCTTTTCAGCACCACAGAACTCTCACTTTTAAGCATGCCAGCCATTTTAAAGGGAATTACAAACGTAAATTTTGTCAGTACACAGTGCAATCACTAACGTCGGGACTCGAAAATACGTAATTTGAAAATTTTTTGGTACGACTGGGGCGGTCATATGTCCGGGTGGTCGTAAGTCGAGGAGTAGCTATTTTTTTAACCAAACATTTAGATAAACTATTGTGGATTATTATAGTAAAAAAATGAAGTTTCTAACAGAACTGTATTTATGGATTCCAGTAGTTTAAACTCGAAGGAAAAAAATCTCCAGCACCCAGAAATGTTCTGGAGAAGTGGGCTAGTGTAGATCTGTACAAAATGTCTAGTTTAGACACTCAGAAACTTTTCCCAGTAACCGAAAAAGGTTCCAGGGTTAAGGAATTTTTCTGGGTTTGAGAAAGTTGTCTCGTTACCCGGAAATCTCTCATCCCCGGAAGTGCTCTGCTCCAATTGTTCATGCTAACTGGGATATCACTGTACTGTACATCTGACATCTGTATTCCCTCTTTACCAAAGTAATAGCGACGCTACCTCCTCTGATTTCCTACCAACACTCTCCCCCCCCCCACACACACACGAAGAATTCTTCTCATGTAAAGGAATATAAATAAATTCTGAAATTGCCATTGTTCTTGGTTTTGGAAGGCAGGTCTCAGTTTCTGTCTCTTAGAGTAGTGTTTGGTCTCAAATAGTCTGGTCAGTTACATCCCTGCCACAAATGTTAAGGGGATTCTTGGGACAAAACCCCCAAAAATGGGTTAACATATTTCTTTGAGCAAGAGAGATAACCCTTTTCACTAATAACTGTTAAATTTTCAGAAACTGAAGCGATCTGGATATCAGCTTTATGAAAAAGTTTGCGAGAGAGTTTTGACATCTGATTTCTTCACAGGTAAGATTGATGTTACAAGGTATCAGGGATGGAGTACAAGAGGTCCTCGTTATAAGTGTCTTCATTATAAGTGGTCAAATAAGAGGATTCTAAGGCTGAAATCTGTCAATCTTTGGGGCACAAGCATTTGTGCGATTGATTTTCCCACCCGCCCCACATTCTCTTATAGTTCATCCTTCTCACCCGCACTATGCATGCTCAGTACCAGTTACAGTGGTCCCTCGGTTAACGAATGGTTCGGTTAACGAATTATCTTCCATAAGAATCTTCAATTTGGTTAACGAACAAAAATTTGATTCACGAAATCCTTACGAAAATCACGTTTTGGTGTGAGCATCAGCTGATCAGCTGATGGGCTAGTCTGCCTATTCAGTAACCTGTTCTATGTTTACATTCGTTTCCAATAAGGTAAATATAAATAAAGTTGTAATCTTTAATATATTTTCATGTTTTGTATTACATTTTTTAGTCATTTTAACATTTATTTAACATATTGATAATACAGTGAAACCTTGCTTTACGCGGTCATTTGAACCCGCGGAGACCCGCGTAAAGCGGGAAACATGTAAAGTGAACAACAGAACATATGGGATTAATTGAAATAGAGACCGGGCCTACCCCCAAACTCCACTTTTTCCCGACACAATACCTA